TATTGAAGAGCAAGTTTCAGAGTTTCTGCTGGCATCCATTTTGGTCTTTTCTTCATTTCCTGTCTTTTTAATGACTTGTTGCTTTCTTCATGGATGATGTTCTTGATGTCATCCCACAATCCTTCTGGTTTTCAGTCATTGGTGTTCAATGCATCAAATCTGTTCTTTAGATGGTCTGTAAATTCAGGTGGAATATAATCAACATCATATTTTGGCTTTTGTGGACTTGTTTTAATTGTCTTCAGCTTCAACTTGAACTTGCATATGAACAATTGATGGTCTGTTCCAGTCAGCTCCTGGCCTAGTTTTGGCTGAAGATATTGAGCTTTTCCATCGCCTCTTGCTACATGTGGTTGTTAAGTTTGTGTGTCAACTTGACTAGGTCTGGTTGAGTGGCTGTGTAGCTGGATGTAGTAATCTCCATGATGAGACTGGTAATCAGCTCCATGGTAGAATCTACTGTGAGCAGCTGAGTAGCCACCTTAGGGATGTGGTCTGCTTCCTGTATATAAAGAACAGCTTTGGGGATGGTCTCAGCTTATGGCATGCTTGAACCCTGAGTGTAGCCATGTTGTTGTTCAGCAGCCTGCCAACCTTGCGACTTTCAATGGATTTGAATTAATAGCCTGCTGTGTGGTTGATATCATCGGAACTGTGCCTTTTCATTTGTCAACTTTGGACTTGTCAGCCTCAGTAGCCAGCAGTTGTCTTAGTGAAGAAAAGCTTCTAGCTCCAATGGGCCAGGAGCAGGAGGCAGAGCTGAAGCCCAAGATTGAGGGGCTTTCACACAAACCATAGAGCCTAGCACTTTGAACTGGGACTTAAAGCCTCCAAACTGTAAGAGAATAAAGTCCTGTTTGTTCAAGCCATCCCATTTATGGTATATTCCTGTCAGAGTGGCACTAGGTAACCAAAACACCACAGATGTAGTCAATCTGATTATCTTGTGTACTCCATCTGGTGAAGTCCACATGTATAGCCTCTGTTTATGTTGTTGAAAAAAGGTATTTGCAACAAATGAGTCACTGGTCTTGCAAAATTCTATCATGCGATCCCCAGAGTAATTTCTATCACCAAGGCCATATTTTCCAACTACTGGTGATTCTTTTTTATATCCAACTTTTGCATTCCAATCACCAGAAATAATCAACACATCTTGATTGTATGTTTGGTCAATTTTAGACTGCAGAAGTTGGTGAAAGTCTTCAATTTCCTCATCTTGGCCTGGTGGTTGGTGCATCAATTTAAATAATAGTTATATTAACTGGTCTTTCTTGTAGGCATATAGATATTATCCTATCATTGATAGCATTGTACTTTAGAATAGATCTTAAAACATTCTTTGTTATGATGAATGCCACACCATTCCTCTTTAATTTGTCATTCCTAGCATGGAAGATCATATGGCTTAAATATGTAACCAAACCAAGACCAAATTCACTGCCATCGAGTCGCATCCGACTCAGAGTGACCCCTCCTTGGGTTTCCAAGGTGGTATCACTACGTAAATAGATTGCCCAATCTTCCTTCCAAGGAATGGCTGGTTGGGGGATTTGAACCGCCAGCCTTCTGGTTAGCAGTCAAATCCCTTAGGCACTCTGCCACCAGAGCTCAGCGTCAGAGTGATGTAACATGAGAAAGATTTGACCGACCATTACTTGCTTTGAAGATGGAAGGGACCTGTGATGCAAGGAATACCTCCTATATTTTGCTGGAAAAGCCAGGATACAGATTCTCCTTCAGAGCCTCCAGAAGGAATTCAACTCTGCAAACACCTTGATTTTAGCCAATAAGATCAGTTCAGACTTCCAATATCCAGAACTATAATGATTGCGATTATAATTTGCTCTGGTAGCATAGTGCCTAAGTCACTTGACTGCTAACCAGAAGGCTGGCGGTTCAAACCCACCAGCCACTCCTCGGAAGGAAGATGGGGCAATCTACTTCTGTAGTGATACTGCCTCGGAAACCCAAGGAGGGGTCGCTATGAGTTGAGTCCGACTTGACGGCACATAACAACAACAACAACAACATAGCAGCAACAGGAAATTAGAATAGTGGCTATAAAACTGTTCCAATAATACACTCATATACGTAGTGCATGTTTCCTGCTTTACATTAATGTCACTGTATTATAATTATATGATTGTGCCAGCAGTCACTAACAGTGTCAATGATGATCTTGATTCATTACAAGATTGTCAGTCATCAATGAAAAAATAAGCAGTGCAACCTAGCACCTCTGTCATGGAAAGGATGGTACTATATATACAGTTCGTGCCCTCATGACAGTGTGATCAAGCATAACACAAGAGCATAGAAAAATGCGTGAAACAGTTTATGACTTTGAACTCCAGTCTATATTTGAACAGCTAGGGAATTCAGGACCTCAGGTATACTAGCCAAGTGTCCTTTCCCTTATTTTGTGTTTCCTGCTAAAGGACACCAGGCTTCTTTCTAAGGCTAACAGCATCTTGAGGGTGAGAGCAGAAGAGGAAGGGAGAGTGGATAGTGGTGTATACTCTTCAGTATGGTAGATGCAAAATAATCAGCCTTTTACTGCATTACCCAGATTAATAATCCAATGGGCAACTATTGAAGTCATTATGGTAAAAATGTGTCTATCTCTTGTTCAAGACTGGAAAAAGGAAGAAGGAAATGAAAAACCACCATACTGTGATGAAGTCATACATACTTTAGAATGATTAATTGAATTTTAAAAGGGAATTCAAGTTAACATTAACTTAGCCAGATATTTTACAGTATCAGTATTCCTCATTTTCTGAGTTTTCTGATCAATTAGTATTTTAGCATATTTGTTTTTGTTATAAAGCCCTTTCCTTTTACTGCACTATATTAAAACCAGTTTCCCTCAATTCCAACTTGTGGCAACCTCAGGAGTCAGAGTGTCGGAGTAGAACCATACTCCACAGGATTTTCAGTGACTGATTTTTCAGTAGTAGGTCACTAAGGCTTTCTTTTGAGGCACCTCTGCATGGACCCAAACCTCCAAACTTCCAGTTAGCAGTTGCATGCATTAATAGCTCTCAGTTAGCAGGTGCATGCATTAATTGCTTGAACCACCCAGGGACTCCACTGTGATATGTTATACCTTCCTTTATTCCCCACCCAAGCTTAAAACCAATTGAGAGAGTCACAGGAATCAGAAAGATGGAGATCATCCCACCAGCTTCATTTCTGGCACACTATTGATGTGGGGCAGCAATATATTTCCTGATATGACACTGTGGAATTAAACAGAATGACCTCCTTAGTCACAGGCAGCTAGTAAATAGTGCACCATGCTCAGGAGCAGAGTTACCCATAGGCAGATCCGAACAAGAGCAAAGAAGAGGCTGATAAGCATGCCTGTCTTCTCCCCAACTTGCCCATCAGGTAAGTCACTTGTCCCAGAAGGAATAAGTGAAGGAGAGAGAGGTCAGGAGTGTCACTACTAGAAGCTCTTCAACATGGATGAATGAGGGATGGGGAATAAACTTTCTCCACCTGATAACTACCACTAAGTGATAGCAAATAAAGCTATGCTATAATTAAGCAAACTATGTAATTATACATAGAGGAATTTGAAAGCAAAATTAGCAGCAACTTCCATCTTAGGGTGATGAGGCACACAGTCTAATGTTGTTACAAGTGATAAAAGTATACAGGCATTTACAGGTGACATTCATTGTCTTTAAAAATTAGAGCACATTCAAAATTATTCCTATAATGTTATTCCTACTCTCTTTATTTCAAATTTCCTTTCTTGAGTGGGAGAGAAAAGGGAGGAATTACAGATAAACCAAACCCGTTGCCATAGAGTTAACTCCAACTCATAGTGACCCTGTAGGACAGAGTAAAACTGCTGTATAGGGTTTCCAAGGCTGTCATCTTTACAAAGAAGCAGACTGCCACATCTTTCTCCTGAGGAGAGGTTGGTGCATTGGAACCACTGATCTTTTGGCTGGCAGCCAAGCACTTAACCACTGGGCCACTAGTCTACTTACACATATGCCAATCTACTTATGTGTGAAGAAGTTCATAGTGAAGGACCTTTAATGGAAGCGTTAATATTTGTTGCAGTTGTGAATTATTGAAATGCCTCATGAGTTACGATTTTTACAGTTAGTCCTACTTCTTTTCTATGTTACCCAGGGATAAATTTGATTACGAAGGCAAGCTGAGATTTTTAAGAGCATGAATATCAACATAGTATATGGGCAAGAATGTCTCGGCAAATATTTTTGGTTAATAATGATAGAAAAACTATCAAGCAAAAAGCAGATAATGTAATGAAATATATAAAATTTGAAAAAATAATGTTAATATTAGTTATAAAAGGTTAATGAGAACAGTCCATATATCATAATTTAAACAATAAAGTAAGAAAGTTTTTATTTTATTCAATTGTATATATGCAGTTCTAAGGAGTTGAGGGTATAGAAAAAAAATTAACCTTCCTTTTTAAAACAAAAGTCGTGATTTTAAAAATCAGTTAAGTCACTCATATTTATTTTGTTATAAGTCATTTTGAGATATTAAATGCCTATTTGATTATTCATTTGCTTGTAAAATGAATTTATGAATATTTTTATGAACACAGAGAACCTCATAAAAATCTTATGGCACTATTTCCTTTATTTTCCTGCCACTAGCACCCCAATTTGGTGACGTTTTGTCCAGCTCTGTGACTGTTGTATATTATGCTTGAAAGTTGCTAAGAAACTAAGTAGAAAAAGCAAGCACTCCTCTCTGCTCTGAAGTAAGCCTCAATCTTTTGCAACTCTTTGCCTTCTTGGGAAAGCTTTTGGTTGGCCAAGAAAAAGATTTGCCTTTAACAACAAATCAGTGACATTGCCAGGTGATTGTGACATAGAAGAGTAACCTCCAATCAGAGAAGCCCAGCAGTCTGATTGTGACATGCCTCCATGAATTTGAGAGCACCCCTCTGAGGGCCTTCACTTCTCCATTCAGTACTGTTAAGGGGAACACCATCCACAATGGCCAGATCCTCCATCACAAAGTGCCGGTGCTCCAGAAGACTTCTAAGCACAGTCTCCAGGAAGAAGTTACATTTCAGAACAGACTTTGGCCTTAGAAACTACGCACGCTATGTCAACAGGGTTCTAAAGGAAGTGGTTCCCCAGAGGGGCATATCTTCTGGCACCTTGCAGGTCATGAACACTCTGATCAACGACATCTTTGAACGCATTGCTGTGGAGGCCTGCAACCTGATGTATTTCAGAAATCGTTGTACCCTCACCCCAGAAGATATCCAGAGGGCAGTATACTTGCTGTTGCCTGGGAAACTAGCTAAGCATGCGGTGGCTTTTGGAAGCGAAGCAGTCAACAGATATGTCCACTCCTAAACTCTGTGTACCAGCTTAACTGAATCTGGAGGAAAGTAAATCAAACTTACAAATGATCACTTGAATATTGAATTCAGTCTTGTTTTTATAACTGGTGTTTTCTTATTTCTCTTATCTCTAGAGCTAAATTACTTTCTTGCTATTTTACCTTTTAAGTTTTCATTGTTTAGGTTTACCTGACATCTGTTCCCTGCCTGGACTCCCTCCTAGAACTCTTATTTTTCCTACAAATATGTAAATCTCATTATATATGTTCAATGCTTACTGTATAGTCAAGGTATTGTTAACTATATACAGGATGATTTGAGCCCATTATTTTGACCCACTGGTCACACAGACTCCACATTTATACAGATAACCATTTTAATCGGAAGTATAAATAGCACTGATAAATTTTTATAAAAATATATATATATATTTCCTAGAGAAAACTCTCATAGCATAGTGCCTAAGGCATTTGACTGCTAACCAGAAGGCTGGTGGTTCAAACCCACCAGCCACTCCTCGGAAGGAAGATGGGGCAATCTACTTC